GGCCCCGCCGCCGCTTCCCCTTCCCGGGTCAGCGCCCGCTCCCCGCCGCCTCCCGCTCCCGTTACCCCCCCCCCCCCCCCCAAGCCCCGGTAGGGGCCGCCCCGCACGTGCCTTGGGGCCGGGACCGGGGGAGTCCCGGGGGGGTGATGGGGGGGGGCGGTGCACGTGCGGGGGGGTCGCGGGGGCCGGTTGTGGGGGGCGGGTCCGGGTTGGGGGGGGCGGGCCCTGGGAGCCGATTAAGCGGCGGGAGCCGCGGCGGCCGCAGCCGCGATCGCATCAATCCCCTGCGGGGCCCGCACCGGCACCGGCTCCAGCGCGCCCCGGTGAGTGCCCGGCCCCGGGAGGAGGGGGGGGTCCTGCGGGCAGCGGGAGCGGCCCCGCTCCGTGTCCCCCCGGGTCCCCGGTGCCACCCCGGGGCGCTCGGACACCTCTGTCCCCGGGTCCCCTCTCCCATCGCAGGGTGCGGGACCGCTCCGTGTCCCCTCCGCCGCTCCACGGACACCTCCTGTCCCCAGGGATCGCTCCTGTGCCCTAGGGGGGAGACAGCGGGGACAGGACGGGACCCAGCGCCCTCCGCCTCCTGCTTCTCAGTGGGGTCCTGGGGGGGCGCTGGGCGATGACTCCCTTGTGTCCCCCCCGTCCCCCCCGTCCTCCGTGTCCCGGGGCCGCGGTGCCACCGGCCCGACCCGGAGCTGGGCCAGAGCAAGGCGGGGTGGGGGGAGCCGGGGTCCCGGCGTGCCAGGCCCGCGGGGCTGACACCCATTTCCTCCTATTGCAGCTGCAGGAACAATGGCAGAGGCATTCCTTGTGGAGAGCCCCGACGTCACGTACAGCAAGGACTTCATCGAGGCCAAGTACACGTACAGCGCCGTGCACGTCTGCCGCGAGAACGGCGTCACCAAGGTGCGGTGGGGCGGGGGATGCAGGGGACGGGGGGGGCTGGAGGGGGCTTGGGGGGCTGGTAGGGGTTGGGGGGGCTCAGAAGGGGTTTTGGAGGGTGAAGGGTGTTGATGGAGGCTGTCAGGGTTTGGGGGGGCTGTCAGGGTTTGGGGGGGTCAGGAAGGGGTTTGGGGGGGTCAGGAGGGGTTTTGGGGGTCCCCCCATCCCCACGCATCCCCATCCTGTAGGTGCGTCCGTGCTCGACCCGGTTCACGTTCCGCACGGGGCGGCAGGTCCCACGCCTGGGGGTGATGCTGGTGGGCTGGGGGGGCAACAACGGCACCACGGTGACCGCGGCCGTGCTGGCCAACAGGCTGGGGCTCTCCTGGATGACCAAGACCGGCCGCAAGGTGGGTGTCCCCCGCCAGCATCCGGCATCCCACAAGGATCAGGACATGGAGCTGGTCCCTCTGCACCAGGGTCCTGCACCCCAATCCCCGTCCCTGCCCCTGCAGAGGTGGTCTGAAGCCCCAGCACCCCACTTTGGGGGTGCTGGGCACCCCCTTCCCTGCACCAGCAGCTCATCCTCACATTCTCCATCCCAGAAAGCCAACTACTATGGCTCCCTGCTCCAAGCCTCCACCGTCTGCCTGGGCTCTGGCCCCACCGGTGATGTCTATGTGCCTTTCCGGGACCTGCTCCCCATGGTGCACCCCAACGACATCGTCTTTGATGGTAGGTGGGGTATGGGGGGGGGACACGGACACCCCCCATCCATGGGGCACCCTGAGCGGTTGGGTCACCCCTTGTCCCCCAGGCTGGGACATCTCATCCCTGAACCTGGCCGAGGCCATGCGGCGCGCGGAGGTGCTGGACTGGCCGCTGCAGGAGCAGCTCTGGCCCCACATGGAGAAGATGAAGCCCCGAGCCTCCATCTACATCCCCGAGTTCATCGCTGCCAACCAGGAGGAGCGGGCGGACAACGTCCTGCGCGGGTCCATGGCGGAGCAGGTCCTGGTGCTGGTGGTGGGGACACAGAGGTGACGGTTGGGGGGGGGAGATGCCCCCGTGCTGACGTATCCCCATCGGTGCCGTCCCAGGTGGAGCAGATCCGCAGGGACATCCGCGACTTCAAGGAGAGCAGCGGCGTGGACAAAGTCATCGTCCTGTGGACGGCCAACACGGAGCGCTTCTGCGACGTGGTGCCGGGGCTCAACGACACCGCCGACAACCTGCTGCGGGCCATCGAGGTCAGGGCACGGGCAGGGCCCGGGGAGGGTGCCGGCAGCCCCCGGTGGTGCTGAGCTGCCCCGTGTCCCCGCAGCGAGGCCTGGAGGTGTCCCCGTCCACGCTCTTCGCCGTGGCCAGCATCCTGGAGGGCTGCGCCTACATCAACGGCTCCCCCCAGAACACCTTCGTGCCCGGCGCCGTGGAGCTGGCCGCCCAGCGCCGCGTCTTCATCTGCGGCGACGACTTCAAGTCGGGTCAGACCAAGCTCAAGTCGGTGCTCGTGGACTTCCTGGTGGGCGCCGGGCTCAAGGTACGTGGGGATGGGGCAGCGCCGGTGGTGGTGGGGGGGACCTGCCTGTGATGGGGGGTGACCTGTGCCCACCGCCCGCCCAGACCAAGTCCATCGTGAGCTACAACCACCTGGGGAACAACGACGGGAAGAACCTCTCGGCCCCGCAGCAGTTCCGCTCCAAGGAGATCTCCAAGAGCAACGTGGTGGACGACACGGTCCAGGCCAACCCCATCCTCTACGGCCCCCAGGACAAGCCCGACCACTGCGTGAGTTGGGGGTCCGGACCCACACGATGAGGACGAGGGGGATGTGGTGGTGACGGCGACGTCGCTTCGCAGGTGGTGATCAAGTACGTGCCCTACGTCGGGGACAGCAAACGCGCGCTGGATGAGTACACGTCGGAGATCATGATGGGCGGCACCAACACCATCGTCATCCACAACACGTGTGAGGTGCGTGGTGGGGGGGCACAGGGGTGTCCCCGGGGGGAGGTTTGGCGTGACCCCATCTCACCTCCCCATGCCCTGGTGCCCGCAGGACTCGCTGCTGGCCAGCCCCATCATCCTGGACCTGGCCATCCTGACGGAGCTGTGCCAGCGCGTCACCTTCTGCACCGAGGCCGACCCCGAGTTCCAGGGCTTCCACAGTGTCCTCTCCATCGTCGCCTTCCTCTGCAAGGCCCCGCTGGTGCCCGAGGGCACCCCCGTTGTCAACGCGCTCTTCCGCCAGCGCAGCTGCATCGAGAACATCCTGAGGTACCCTGGGGTCCCCTCCCCGTCCTCGTGGGGGTCACGTCCCTCCTCTCCCGAGGCTTGTGGGCACCCTGGTGTTTGATGCCCAACACCAGTGGGTCCCTGCGGGTGCCCAGCACCCATGCATGGGGTGTGCAAAGCCAGTTTGGGGTTGGGACGCCCGATGCTGGTGCTGGTGCTCAGTGCCACCGGTTGGTCCCACCCCGTGGGTGCCAGCACCCAGCGCCGCTGTGTCCTGGTGCGTGATGCCCAAATGATGGTCCCAGTGCTGGCAGTGCCCAGCACCAACACGTCCCAGCGCGGATGGGTCCCTGCTTCCCAGTCTTGGGGTGCCCAATGTGAGAGCATCCCAATGCCCCCAGCCCCCGGTACCCAACACCTGGGTACCCAATGCTGCCCCCAGCACCATGGGTCCCATCACCCTTCCCTGTCACTGGGTGCCACATCCTTGACACCCCCCCCCCCCCATTTCCTCCCTTGGTGCCAGGGCCTGCGTGGGGCTGCCCCCCCAGAACCACATGCTGCTGGAGCACAAGATGCAGCGCCCTGCGCCCAGCCCCAAGCGCTCCTGCCCGGGGGGGGCCGCCTGTCCCCTAGCACCCAAGAAGACCCCGGCAGCACCCACCCAGCTCAATGGGCACCCCTGTGCGCCGCAGACGGGGCCCCCCCGCACCCCCCTGCACATCGATGGGGCCGACTAACGCCAGGACCCCTTGAGCAGCTTCCTGGGGGGTGGATGTGGGGGTCCTGGGGGGGGGGCGGTGTCCCCCCCCCCGGTGCTCCCCGGCCCCGATGCCATTGACACTGTGAAGCTTTGTACCCCCCAATAAACCCGGATACCCCCCCCCCCGGTGTTGCCTCATTCTTGGGGGAGCCCCCCCCCAAAAGCAAAACGTTGGCATCTTCTGAAAAAAAATCAAGTGACATTTATTGATGGGGGGGGCTGTATTTTTGGGGGGGGGGGTTGTATTTTTTTGTGTATTTTCTTCTTTTTGTTGTTTTTTTTTGGGGGGGGTCCCCCCCGTTTAGTTTTGATAAAGCAACGGGGGCTCTAATGGCAATAGAAATGGGGGGGGGGGGTCCCTACACAGAACAACTATGCCTATGGTGGGTGCTATGGGGGCACAATGGGCCCCCCCCCGGCGTGGGGCTGTACAAGGGAGGGGGCCCGGGGGTGCGGCGGCAGTTGGGGGGGGGGGGAGGGGAGAGGGGGTTGAGGTCGTTTTTGTTATAAAAGAGGAAAAATCCCAACGAAAATCCCAAAAAAACACACAAAAAAAGAGAATTCCTTCATATTAAAGTGGTCCCGGGGGGGGGGGCCCGGTCTGGCGCTCGGGGGGGGGGGCCGGGGGTCACAGTGCTGGCTGAGCACACAGACAGGGCTGGGGGGGGGGGGGCTGCTCTCTGCACTGGGGCCTGCCCTATAGAGCATGGGGGGGTGCTCTATGGGGAGGGGGGTATGGCTTGGGCCCCCCCACCCCCAACACAGCCTTTGGGGGGGGGTTGCAAACCCACTGGGGGGGGATGGGGGGCTGTGCTGGTGGTGTGCCCCCCCCCCCCGGGCTTTGGCAGGGCTTGGGGGGGGGGGGGCACTGGGAGGGGGTTATACCCCCCCCCCCAACCTCCTCTCCACGTTTTGGGGGGGCACAAAACACCCTTCCAAAGCCTACCCCCCCCCCCCCCCAGTGCCTGCCCTCACCCTAGAGGGGGGGACCCTGCGCCGGGGAGGGGGGGGCAGTAAATAAGTCATGTGACTTATTCCTAATTCTTCTTCAATTGTCCCCATTCTGTGTTTAGTGTTTTCTCGCGGGGGAGGGGGGGGGGGGGGGGGGGAATGTGACTGATAATTATTGATCATTGATTATTGATCACTGATGAGGATTCCGGGGGGGTCCGGCCTCGCGGGGCTCACACGCTCATCGTCATGCTGGGCGAGTACTGCAGGGACCGGAGACACCGTGGAGTGAATGGGGGGGTCCTTGGGGGGGGAACCACCCCCCATTGCAATCATTGGGGTTCACCAAAGGGGTTTAATGTTTCCCCCCCTCCCCTTCTTGCCCTCCCTCCGCCCCCCCCGGGGGGGTCCCTTACGCTGTCGCTTTGGAAGGGGTTCAGGAAGTTGCTGCTCAGGTCCGCGTCGTCCCGGGGGGTGCCGGGGGGGTTGCTCAGGGCCCCCAGGTTACTGGGGGAGCTCTGGGGAAGGGGGAGAAAGGGGAGAAATAGGGGGGGACGGTGCATGGGGGGGGTGCCAGTGCATTGGGGGCTCAATAAATGGGGTCCCAGTACATGGAGGGGGGCAATAAATGTGTCCCAGGGTACGGGGGGGGTCAATACGTGGGGTGCCAGTACATGGGGTGCCACACAATAAATGTGTCTCAGGATATGGAGGGCTCAATAAATGGGGTCCCAGTACATGGGGGGGGGCAATAAATGTGTCCCAGGATATGGGGGGGTCCATGGGGTCCCAGTACATGGGGGGGGGGTGTCAATACATGGGGTCCCTGTACAAGGTGGGGGGCAATAAATGTGTCCCAGAATATGGGAGGGGTCAATAAATGGGGTCCCAGTACAAGGTGGGACAGTAAATGTGTCCCAGGGTATGGGAGGGTTCAATACATGGGGTCCCAGTACAAGGTGGGGGACAATAAATGTGTCCCAGTACATGGGGGGTTCAATACATGGGGTCCCAGTACATGGGGGGGGCAATAAATGTGTCCCAGGGTATGGGGGGGGGGTGTTTCCCATAATTGGGGTCCCAGTACATGGGATTGATGGGGGGGTCCCAGTGCATGGCGGGGTCCCCGCACTCACCTTTGGCAGCCCGTCCATGTCCCCGGAGCCTGCAGGGACAAAGCAGCGCATCAATGCCCCCCCCCCAGGCCATGCCCCCCCCCCCCGGTGATGCTCAGCTCCCCCCCCCCCATCCCGTCCGCCGCAGCGGGGGCCCTGCACCGAGCGCGGCCGCCCGCAGGTGGCGCTCACGGACCGCGGGATGCGGGGGGCACGCACCTAAGGATCCATTCATGTGATGCGGCTCCATCGCGCCCATGCCCCCCATGGGCCCCTCGGGTCCGGGCCCCATCGGGAACTGGAAAAGGGGGTGGGGGGTGAGCAATGTGGGACCCCCCCCCATCCCCATCCCTGTGTCCCGTTCCCCCCCCCATCGCTGTCACTCACATTGGGCCGGGTCCCCGCGGGCCCGATGGGGTTCATCATGGTGTACATGTTCTCACTGGAGTTGGTGGAGTCTGGAGGGGGGGGGACACACATGGAGGGGGTGAGAATGGCACCCAAATCCCCCCCCATAATGTCCCCATCCCGCTCCCTGCAGACACTCACCTCCGGGGCTGGGCAGGATGGGGGTGCCAGGGGGGCCACCACCCCCGGGAGGACCCTGGGCAGGGGAAAGGAGGGAGCTGGGTTAAAGGGGGGGGACCCCCAGCATGCTCCCCCCCCCCCAGTGCACCCCAATACTCACCACATAGTTCCCAGGGGACGAGGAGGAGTAGGCGATCTAGGGGAACAGAAAGGGGAGACGTGTTCATCATGGGGGGGGGCAGAGCCAGCACCCCCATGGCCCCATCCCCTGCAACCCCCCCCCCAACTTACGGAGTTGGCGTTGGGGTTCGGCCAAGGCCCGCGGCCACCGGGACCCCTGGAAGGCAATGGGGAGAGGTGAGGGGGGGTCCCGGTGATCTCGGGGCGGGGGGGAGGATCCGGGGGGGGTTCCGGGTCTCTTACATGTTCATGGTGGGCATGCCAGGGCCAGCCAGTGAGCTGGGGGGGGGCCGCATCCCGCTGCCATAGGTCTGCAGGGAGAGCTGGGGGTCAGCGGGGACATCCCTGTCCCTGGCCCCCATCCCCATCCCGACCCCTGCATCCCTGCGCTCTCACCTGGGGGGCCATGGCGGCCATGCCTCGGGGGGGGTTCATGCGCTGCATCGGGCCCCCCATGCCAGGATGCCCTGTGCAAAGGCGGGGGGGGGGCCGTGAGACCCCACAGCCCCCCCCCCCCATAACCGACCTGGGCGTGCGGGGTGGGGGGGGACAGACAGGGGACCCCCCCCCCAACTCACCTTGTGACCGCACCGCCGGGTCCATGGCGTTGGGCAGCAGCGGCTGCGAGCCCGGGACACCCACTGGGGGCTGCAGGGGGGGGGACAGCGCGTGAGGAGCTGCGGCCCCCCCCCCAAAGGGGTCTGCACCCACTGTAGGGGGCGGGGGGGGGGTATGGGGGAGGTCCCATCTCTGAGCACCTCACCTGGTTCGGCATCCGGAGCGGGGGCCGGGGGCCGCCGGGGTACCGGGGGGACATGAAGGGCTGCAAGAGACAGAGCAGGGATGGGGTGAGCTGGGGCTGGGGGGGGCAGCATCACCCTGGGGGGGGCCGGGGGGGGCCGGGGCTCTCCTGCAGGCGCTGGGGGGGGGGGGGCCCAGCCTTACCTGGCTGTGTGGCCCCAGCAGGGGGGGCCCGGGGTTGTGGGGCAGAGGCTGAGAGCCCGCGGGTCCCTTCAAGAGAAACAGAACATGGTTATGGGCCGGGGGGGCACCCCGATGGGGGGCATGGGGGGGGCACGGGACGTGGGGCTGGCCCCAGGAGGGGGCAGAGTGGGGCGGGGGGGGCCCGGGTCATGTATACCCCCCCAGCTGCACGCACACGCTAAGGGCACGCATACACGTAGGTAGAGAGACATTAAGGACACGCACATGCTAAAAGCATGCACACGCTAAGGACATGTACACACTAAGGACACACACAAACTAAGGACACACACACACTAAGGACATGTACACTCTAAGGACACACACACACTAAGAACATGCACATGCTGAGGACATGCACACGCTAAGGACATGTACACTCTAAGGACACACACTAAGAACATGCACATGCTAAGGACACACACACACTAAGGACATGCACACACTAAGGATACATACACACTAAGGACATGCACACCCTAAGGACATGCACATGCTAAGGACAGGAACAGAGTGCACGCACACACTAAGGACACGTACATGCTAAAGACAGGCACACTGAGTGCATGCACATGCTAAGGACATGCACAAACTAAGCACATGCACACGCTGAGGATACATACACACTAAGGACATGCACCCGCTAATGATATGTACATGCTAAGGACATGCACACTGAGCGCACACACACTAAGGACACATACACGCTAATGACGTACACGCTAAGGACACTCACACTGAGTGCATGCACATGCTAAGAACATGCACACTGAGCACACGCACATGCTGAGGACATGCACACGCTAAGGACACACGCGCGCTAAGGACATGCATACACTAAGGACATGTACACTGAGTGCATGCACATGCTAATGACATGCACACGCTAAGGAGACGCGCATGCTAAGGACACGTGCACGCTAAGGACATGTGCATGCTAAGGACACGCGCACGCTAAGGACATGCATACACTAAGGACATGTACACTGAGTGCATGCACATGCTAATGACATGCACACGCTAAGGAGATGCGCATGCTAAGGACACGTGCACGCTAAGGACATGTGCATGCTAAGGACACGTGCACGCTAAGGACATGTGCATGCTAAGGACACGTGCACGCTAAGGACATGCATACGCTAAGGACACGTACACTGAGTGCATGCACATGCTAATGACATGCACACGCAAAGGACATGCACATGGCTAATGATATGCACACGCTAAGGACATGCACACACTAAGGACACGCATACTGAGTGCATGCACATGCTAAGCACATGCACATGCTAATGACACACACACACTAATGCCGCACACACTAAGAACACGCACACTGAGTGCATGCACATGCTAAGGACACGCACACGCTAAGGACATGCACACACGTGCTCTCTCAGCACACACACACACACACACACGGTACCTGGAAGAAGGCGGGGGCCATGGGCCCCCCCGGGATGCCGTCACCGGGGGGCAGGTTCCCCATCACCGGGCTGGGAGCCGCCGCCGCGCTCTGCGGGGAAAGGGGGGGGGGGGGGGGGGGTCAGCACCGCAGCGGCTGTGCCCAGAAAGACCCCGTCCTGCTCCCCCCGAGCCGAGCGGGGGGGTCCCCATCCCGGGGCAGGGGGCGCGGGCCCCTCTCGCTGCCGGCCCCATGCGAGGGGAGCCGCGCAGGGAAGGAATGCGCCGGAAACCGGCTCGGCCCCTCCACAACTGGTTCCAATTTGTAGGGGAGGAGGAGAAGGGGGGGGGACGGACGGAGCTGGAGCTGCCCCCTCCACCCGGGGGGCCCTGCAGCGCCCCATGGCTGCCCCCAGCCCCGCGGGGGGGGTCTTGGATGTGTTTGGAGAGGGGGGGCATCACCACTGATGGGTGATGGGGATGGGGCACCCGTGGGGGCTGCTGGTGTGGAAATGGGGATGGGGAGGGCGAGACCCCCATCTGGGCACATGGGTCGTGGTATGTACATGGGTCATGCTATGTACATGGGTCACACATGGGACACGCATGGTTATCAGAGAGCCCATCATGGAGCACACCACAGTCCCACCACAGCACCCATGATGATCCCACCACAGCACCCATCATGGTCCCACCATAGCACCATCATGGTCCCACCATAGCACCCATCATGGTCCCATCACAGCACCCATCATGGTACCACCATAGCGTTCACTGTGGTCCCACCACAGCACCCATCATGGTCCCATCACAGCACCCATCATGGTCCCACCATAGCACCCATCATGGTCCCACCACAGCACCCATTGTGGTCCCACCATAGCACCCATCATGGTCCCACCACAGTGCTCATCATGGTTCCACCATAGCACCCATCATGGTCCCACCACAGCACCCATCATGGTCCCAACACAGCACCCATCATGGTCCCAACACAGCACCCATCATGGTCCCACCACAGCACCCATCATGGTCCCACCATAGCACCCATCGTGGTGCTCATCATGGAGCCATCACAGTGCCCACCTTGCCACAGCACAGGGGACAGGTCCCAGGCCCCAGGGGGTCCATCCCCATCACCCAGGGGTGCCAGGAGGGGTGAAGGGTGGGATGGCAGCAGCATCACCCCATGGCTGTGTCCATGTCCAGCATCAACCCATGGCCATGGGTCCAGGACAGCGCTGCCCGGGGGGGCCGGGCAGCCTTTGCCTGGGGGCAGGCACAATCCCTGTCCCAACCCTGGGGACAGAGCCAAGGCTGTTCCCCCCCACACACACCCCACAGTGGGGCCACCGCTGCCCCCCAGCTCCAGCCCCACAGAGGGGACGGTGCTGCCCCCCCCCATGGCAGGGACTGAACTGCCCCCCCATCACTCAGTGATGCAAAGCAGAGTTGCCATGGCAACAGGTTGGGGAGTTTTGGCTCCTCCTGCAGGCTCAAGGTCAGGAGGGAGAAAATGGGGGGGGGGGGGACACATGGGGGGGGTGCAGGCTGGGTGGGGACGGGACTCCCCACACCGATGCACCCCAGGGTACCCCAGTCCCCAGCGTGGGGCCGGCTGCTGCCACCATTTGTCCCCACTGCCAGCCCCCCAAGTGATGGGATCCTCATCCCCACGATGCTCATGGTGGGGGGGGTCCCATGTGCACTGGGGAGGGGCCGCTTAGCAGCACCCACGGGGGTGAGGTGAGGGGCTCCATGGCAGGACCCCCAGTTCACCCCATGGGTACCGCTTTCACTGCAGTGAGGACCCCAGGATAGGGGTTCACGGGGTGGGGGTGCACTGGGGGGGGGTGTGCAGGGGGGCTCCCCCCATGGGTCCCCAGCGCTGCCTGCCAGGCACCAGCGCCATGGCAACGCTGCCTGACCCGCGCCGCGTCCTCGGCATCACCGCACCGGCAGCCTCATTAATTCCAGCATGGAAATCAGCGCTGCACAGCGCCGGGGGCCGGGGGGGGGCTGCTGCAGCCCCCCCCACGCTGGCACAGCCACACGCACCCACAGGCACCCCCCGTGCAGCGATGGGTGCTGCTGGGTGGGGGGAGGGCTGAGCACCCAGGGATGGGGGGGCAGCTCCAGCCCCTCTCCAGGGGGATGGGGGAGAGGGTCAGGGCAACGTGTGCCCTGTGGCAACCTGCATCCCACAGCGCCATGGATCCCACAGTGTCCTGCATCCCACAGTGCCACGGGTACCATGGCATCCTGCAACCATCAGCACCCCCTACTGCACAGCACCATGTATCCCACACAGAATGGCACCGCCTGACCTGCAGCATCCTGCATCCCACAGCATCCTGCATCCCACGGCCTTCTTCATCCCACGGCATCCTGCATGCCACAGCATCACGTATCCCACAGCATCCTGCATCCCACAGTGCCATGGACCCCACAGGCATCCTGCATCCCACAGCACCATGGACCCCACAGCATCCTGCATCCCACACTGCCATGGACCCCACAGCATCCTGCATCCCACAGCACCATGGACCCCACAGCATCCTGCATCCCACAGCACCATGGACCCCACAGCATCCTGCATCCCACACTGCCATGGACCCCACAGCATCCTGCATCCCACAGCACCATGGACCCCACAGCAACCTGCATCCCACAGCACCATGGACCCTACAGCATCCTGCATTCCACACTGCCACGGACCACACAGCATCCTGCATCCCACAGCACCATGGACCCCACAGCATCCTGCATCCCACACTGCCATGGACTCCACAGCATCCTGCATCCCACAGCACCATGGACCCTACAGCATCCTGCATCCCACACTGCCATGGACCACACAGCATCCTGCATCCCACAGCGCCATGGACCCCACAGCATCCTGCATCCCACAGCACCATGGACCCTACAGCATCCTGCATCCCACACTGCCATGGACCACACAGCATCCTGCATCCCACAGCGCCATGGACCCCACAGCATCCTGCATCCCAAAGCACCATGGACCCCACAGCATCCTGCATCCCACAGCACCATGGACCACACAGCATCCTGCATCCCACAGCGCCATGGACCACACAGCACCCTGCATCCCACAGCACCATGGACCACAAGGCATCCTGTATCCCACAGTACCATGGACCCCACAGCACCCTGCATCCCACAGCACCATGGACCACACAGCTTCCTGCATCCCAAAATACCATGGACCCCACAGCATCCTGCATCCCACAGTACCATGGACCCCACAGCATCCTGCATCCCACAGCACCATGGACCCCACAGCATCCTGCATCCCACAGTACCATGGACCCCACAGCATCCTGCATCCCACAGCACCATGGACCACACAGCATCCTGCATCCCACAGCACCACAGATCCCATGGCATCCCACACCCCACACCCCAGGATCATTCACCAGCCCCATCCCAAGGCACGGTGCCCCCTACAGCCAGTCCCCAGGACCCAGTTCTCCTCCTGCCACCCCCAGCAGCAGTGGGGGTGTCCCACTGAACCCCACGACCACACTGGTCCTGGAGCACTGGGGGGGGGGGGACGGGACACCCCAACCCCTCTGGGGTGCCTCCAGTTGGGAAGCAGGAACCGGTTACAGGATGTGATCCATGGGATGGGGCTGGATGCAGGGGGGGCTGAGCCAGGCCCCCAGGGATTAACCCCCCCCCTTCATCCCCCTGCAAATAGGTCAGGGGCTGGGGCCGGGTGTTAACCCCTGGTGTGCTGGGTCCGGGGGTGTCACAGTGGGCACAGACCCCCCCCAGCCCCACGGTACTCACGTAGTCATGGAAGGCTTTGGCCTCGCTGGAGTGCTCACAGGTCTCCCTGCGGTCGGGAGCGGCGCAGTACAGGTCCCAGAACACACTTGGAGTGAGGGATGGGGAGACACAACGGGTCAGAACCCCCCCAATGTCCCTGTGCGTGTCCACGTCCGTGTCCCCCCCCCGTGTGTGTTGGGGCCTCCCAGCTCCGCCGCTGCCTCCTGTTTTCCCTGGAAACGGTCGCTACGGCCAGAGCCCAAATTCCTGGGACTTTACATCAGGCTGCAGCATCCCGGGGCCGGATGGGACTGGGGGGGTCCCACTGCCCGCGCCCCCCCCACCCCGGCTGCAGGGCTGGGTATAGGGATGGGACCACAGCGCTATTCATGGGTGCTCCCCCTTGCTTTGGGGGTGCTGGCAGCGGGAGGGTTAATGGCCAGGAGGGAGCTGTGCCCCCCCCACAAATCACTTCTTGGCAATGGCCAAACCCCACTGCACGAGGGGTTCCCCGCCTCCCCAGCATCCCCTATCCCAGAGGTGATCTCCTGCCCCCCCCCCCGCCGGGTGCGGGTACAAGCCCCATACCGGGAGCCCCCTCCCGCCCCATGCTTGGTGCCAAATTGGATCCATCTGGAGGGGCCGGGGGGGGCAAATCGTTGATGGGAAAAGCAGAGCAGCAGGTTTATGGGGTACGAGGTGATGTGGTGGCAGTGGGGGGGCAGAGCAGCCCCCAGCTCAGCCCCATGGGAAGGGAAGGGAAGGGAAGGGGGGGGGGGGTATCCATCCCCGACTCACCACCACCAGGAGTGCAGGAAGCCGGGGGGCTCTCCCAACGTGATGTTCTTCTCCCATCGGATCTGTGGGGAGGGATGCGGGGTCAGGCTTGGCACCGGCAGGCCTGACACCGCGGGGATGGGCTCCGGGCCCCCCAATCCCATGGGATGGAGGGGGGGATCGGGAGGGGTTTGTGTGTGTGTTCCCCCCCCTCCATCTCTTACCTCGGACAGGAAGGTCTGGGCTGATTTCTGGGCCCCCACGTGCAGCAGGTACTCATAGACGTACAGCGCCAGCCTGCGGGGACGGGGACCGGGACACGGGGGTCAGGGACCGGAGGACACCCCCATGGCCGCGGGGGGGGGGGACGGACGGACACGACACCCCCCCGACAGCCACAGACCCCGAAAGCGGGGACCCCGCTCCCCGGTCAGGACGGAGCGGGAGCGATGTCAGCTCCCCGCGAGGGGCGATGCGGGGACCGCGGGTCCCACCCGGCCCCATGGCCCGGCGGGGGCCACCGCGGGTCCCGTGGCTGGCAATGACTCAGGGCTGGTCCCGCGTCCGACGGGACCGGAGGCGCGGCGGGGGCCGCTCCATCACCGCCGGCGGCGGGGAACGGCTCCCGGTGCCCGGGGAACGGGGGGGGGGGGTCCCTTGGCCCGGGTCACCCCGCGGCTCCCGGTGCCCGGCTCAGCCGGGGCTCCCCGGCGGGGCGGGGCCGTGGGGGTCCGCCCGCCCCCCGGCATCCCCCCCCCATCGCCATCCCCATCCTCTCCGTGCCCGCTCCCCCGGCCAAAGTTGCGGGGCCGCGGCCCGGGGCCGCACTCACTTCTCCCGGGCCTGTCCGTCCGAGGGCACGCCGGAGCCCTTGCCCTTCCCGTACATGCTGTGGCGGCGGCGCGGCCCCGGCTGTCAGCGGCCCCGGCCCCGGCCCCGCTCCCGGGCCCCCCCCGCCGCCATCCCGGCCCCGGCCCCGGCCCCGGCGGCTCCGGCCGCGCGCCCGCGGGGGAGCTTGAAACCGCCGCGCCGCCTCCCCCCGCGCGGCTGTTCCAGCAGCGACGCCCGCGCCCGCCGCTCTTAAAAGGGCGATGGCGAAGGGTGGTGGGGACCGACGGCGTTATGGGGACGGGGGGGGGGGGGGGGGGGGGATGCGATGGGGTGGGCGCAGCCACAGGGGAGGCGGGGGGGGGGGGGCACGGAGGGACACGGAGGTTGGGGGTGGGCAGGGGGATGGTGGATGGGGGGGACGCGGACACGAGGGGTGGGACACGGAAGGGAGATGGGGGGACACGGACACGGGCGGGGGGGGGGGTACGGACACGGTGTTCTCGGAGGGCACGGACACGAGGGGGTGGCTACGAGAGGGACACGGACAGCGGGGGTGGGGAGGGACGCGGTGGTAATGGAGGGACACGGACGCGAGGGGGGGACATGGGCACGGTGAAGGCAGAAGGACGCGGATGTGGGGGGGGACTCGGGAATGGGGGGGATGGACACAGACGTGGGGGGCTTGAGGGGCACAGGACACCGAGAGGGAGGCACAGGGGGATGTGGGCATGGGGAACACCGGGATGCGGACACGGACACAAACCATGCATGGAGTCACCCAGCCCCGGGGGCCCTTTGCAAGGGGGGGTCCCCTCCCCACAGTGTACCCCAAAGAGAGCCCCCCACGGGTGCCAGCACCCCGGGAGGGTCCGATCCTAGCCGGGCCCCTACACGAATTCCCCCAACACATCACTGAGACCCTGGCATCCCCCCCAAACCCGCTTCACTGAGCCGGCGTCTGTGCACATGTGCCCATGTGTACCTGCGAGCGTGTTCAGCACCCAGCACATGTGCACTGACATGTATGTGCGAGCGTGTTCAGCACCCAGCACATGTGCACTGACATGTATGTGCGAGCGTGTTCAGCACCCAGCACATGTGCACTGACATGTATGTGCGAGCGTGCAGCAGCACATGCGTGTGTGTGTCCGTGTGTCCCCACGCGTGTGCCCGCGGAGGTGACGGAGCCAGGGCACACGGTAGTGACAGGCGGGGCCACTGGGGTGCTCAGCACCCAGCAACACCACCCCAAACCCTGAGACAGCCCCCGGGTCCGGCTGCATCCTGTCACAGGATGGGACCCGCCTGTTCCTCTTCTGTGCCCTGCGGAGGAGCGGCCGGAGTGCAGGCGAGTTGGGTGCTGGGGATGGACACACACACACCACCCATTGGGACCCCCGGGTGCTGCCCTGCCTGGGCAGAGCGGGAGAGGGGTGGGTGCCAAACTGGGCTGCACTGGTTTGTACTGGGAGGGGTAACGGGCAGGCTCAGTGAGAACTGGGGTCTTGCTGACCCCTCGTTTCCCACCCAGGTACCTGGAGGGGCCATGGGGCACCCGATGGCCCCCTTTGTGCTGCTGCTGCTGCTGTGCCCCACGTCCCCCCTGTCCCCTATGTCCCCCACGCCCCCCGCGTCCCCCTGCTTCACCGTGCCGCCGGACGCCCCCCTTGAGCTCAATCTGACCCAAACCATCCCTCACTGCGCCAAGCTGGACTGGGGCCTCTTCCAGCGGCAGCAGCGGCTGTGGCTGGACCACAACGGCATCGAAGCCCTGAGCCCCTCGTCCCGCGTCGAGCCGGGGCTGGAGGAGCTGGACTTGTCCCACAACGCGCTGCGGGAGCTGCCGGCCCCGTTCCTGAGCGGGGCGCGGGGCTTGCGGAAGCTCCTGCTGCGGCACAACCGCCTGCGGGACCTGCCCGACGGCTTCTTCGCCAACAGCACAGCCCTGGAGAGCCTGTGGCTGGACGGGAACCCCCTCCCCGCCGTGCCCCGCTCCGCCTTCCAGCCCGGGCTGCGCTTCCTGACCGTGCCGTGCCGCTGCGATGTGGTGGGCACCGTCCTGGAGCCCTGCGCCTGCTCCCCCGCCGCCTGCCGCTGCCACTGCCTCGACCCCCAGCGCGGCCGCTTCAACGTTACCCACTTCCACGGCTCCGAGTGCCGGGGCCGAGCGGTGCTGGCGGCCGGAGCGGCCGCGGCCGTGGCTGTCGTGGCCCTGGCGCTGGCGGTGGCCGCCGTGGTTTGGCACCGGAGGAGAGCGGCGGCCGCCGGCGTCGGGGGGGCGAAGTGGGACGCGGTGGCGGCGCACGGGCAGCCCCGGTACGTCAGCAGGGCCGATGGCATCGACGGCACCGATGGCATCGACGGCACCGATGGCTCCGCGCCGGACTATGAGAACGTGCTCGTGAGCCCCCGCAGAGCCACAGCCACCGCGCAGGGATGGACCCCGGGATGGCAGCGGCACAGGTGAGGTTCTGGAGCCGGCACCGGCTGCTCCAGGTGTGTCCCATCCCTTCCTGTGCTGAACCATGCCCTGCACTCCCGTGCCATGACATCCCATGCCGTGCTGCGCCATCTCACCCTGCCCAGTCCATCCCCATCCATCCTGTCCCATCCCATCCCATGCCATGCTGTGCCATCTCACCCTGTCCAGCCCATTTCCATCCATCCTCTCCCATCCCATCCCATGCCGTGCTGTGCCATCTCACCCTGCCCAGTCCATTCCCATCCATCCTGTCCCATCCCATGCCGTGCTGTGCCATCTCACCCTGTCCAGCCCATTTCCATCCATCCTGTCTCATCCCATCCCATGCTATGCCATGCCATCCCATCCCATCCCAACTTGTCCCATTCTACCCTACCCCACACGTCCCATCCCCACGGGGCCCATGCCACGGCCAGGGCAGCGGGTGCCACCTCCGTGTCCCAGCCCGCAGGTCCCGGTGGGTGACGAGTGTTCCCCGCGGAGCGAGGACACCTGGGACCAGCCCATCTATGTCAACACACTGAGCCCCTGCCAGGACAGCATCTACATCACCCCTGACCAGTGATGCTCCTGTAATGACCCCAGCACAGAGGGGACAGGGATGGGTGCTCCCCATGGATGTGGGCTCCGTGGGTCCGGCTATGGCTGGGACAGGGACACGCACATTCTCCGCTCCCATCCTGCCATGGACACCTCTCTCAGAGCGGTTATTTTAATACACCCTGGCCCCTTCCTTCACCCTGCTCCCTTTCAGTAGCTGAGGGCTGAGGTGCTTCCTCTGACAGCAGGGACACAGCACCCATGGGCAGCAGCATCCCAGAGCAGGGGACATGTGTGAGGGCCCCCGGGGTGACCGCAGCAGCGCACGGTTCCTGTTCCCCTTTCAGCTGCTGATGGGGTGCACGTGCACCTGGGGTTGGGGACATCTGGACACTGGGCCCAACCCCGCCGTCGCTTTCGCCACCACTTTCCCTGCTAAATCTGCCCATGTGGGGAGCAGCAAAAGCCCCTTTTGGAGCGCTCCTGCAGGATTCCCGGCTCTGCACCCCAAGGGGATCAGCATCCTGGGACACGGCCTTGTCTGGGAGTCCTCCCCCTCCATGGGTCCCCTGGGCTCCATCCCTGGTGATGCTCCACCGGGCCCCATTAAGTGGTTTAATCAGCTTAAATGGCCCAGGCTGCTGGGAGCCCTGGGCAGGGATGGGGGTACCTGCCCCTGGCATGGCTGGTGCTGTTCCCATCGGGATCCATCCCTCTGCCATCCCCAAATAAGGGACGCTGGTGACAGAGGGTGGCTCTAAACATGAGACTGGAGGTCCCAGGGACCGTGTCCCCAGAGCGGGGTGTCCCATGGGACCAGAGCCTCAAGGACAGGCCCCCATAGCCCATGTCCCCAGAGGAGAGGTCCCATCTCCAGACTGGACGTCCCCAACCCCGTGTCCCTCAGGTCCCCGTCCTTGCTGTTCCTCAAGCCCAGGATCCCTCCCAGGAGCTGCCAAGGGTCTGGGCAGCCCGGGACCCCCCTGGGATGTGCTGGAAGCAGGGAAAGGACCGAGAGGAGCCGGGACCAGCACCCATTGAGGTGCAGTGAGTCCCTGGGGGACGCTGCCTGGTGGCAGAGCCTGGGGGAGCCGTGGTCCCCCCATCCCAATGCGGTCCCACAGCTGAAGGTACCTGGAAAGGGGCAGTGGCCACATCCTGGCCCAATGTCCTGCCTGGAGGAGGTCAAGGCTGCGCCCAGCACCCATCTCAAGGCCACAGACAGCTCAAAGGTCTTTGGGAGCACGGCCCAGGCATTACTCACCTGGCACGGCAGGGTGGGATGGGCTGAGCTGGCCCCACTCATCCAAAGGGAGCCACCAGCAAATCCATATGGAATCAGCTCCTGGCTGGTCACCCAGGGAGGGGGTAAGTGAAGAGCTGAAGGTGACCCACTGCAATGGTGGGTGGTGGGGCAGGAGAGGCAGCCAGGATCCCTGTTCCCATCTCTTTATTCATTCCCATAATTCTGGTTTATAGAAATATATAAAATAGAAAATACACCAAAAAACCCACCTTTTCCCCAGAAAGGTGCTTTGCTATAAAATACAATAAGTTAGCAATAAATAAGAGGGTTGTATAAATAAGTCTCTAAGCAGAGAAGAGATGATGCTCAGGCAAGGGGTGGGCTGTGGCCACCCAGGACAGACCCACCTCAGCCTCTTTTGGGGTCTCTTGGGTGGGAAGGATCCACCTCCCACATAAAATGTGCTTTAAATAAGGAAAAAGAGGTGGGAATAACGTGGCCTGCAGAGGGGGGAGTCACAACCAGGGACCCTGAGGATGAGCTGGATGCTGGAGGCGATGCCAGCACGGAGGCATTTCATGCCATGGGGTCTGGGTTTGGGGACGCTGGAGCTGCCGGGAGCCTCTGCCCAGTGGCAGCAGGGCACGGTGTGAGCTGGGGGCGATGCCATCAGGCACAGTGGCACTTGGTGACCAGCATGTCCTCGAAGACCGTGGAGACCAGCCTGCCCTCGCTGTTGTAGTGCATCAGCACCATGGGGTCGTATCCGGCGGGGACGCAGCAGGGCGGGGGGGTGGCTTTGGAGAGGGAGTGCATGCGGGCTTTGATCTGGGCGTGCATGCTGGCCGGTTTGTAGTTGTGGGGACAGGACCCCTCACAGAACCTCATGTAGTAGCTGTTGGGGGCGATGATCCAGTCCGACCAGCCGATGTCCTGGAAGGAAACCTTGAGCGACTTCAGGCAGCACTTCCCATCGCTCTTCCCGCATTCCTCCTCCAGCCCCCGGGCTCTCCGGGCCCCCCGGCCCCCGGCCTCCTGGGTTTCCACCTCCAGCACCAGCGTCTCCGGGGAGGAGGAGGGCAGCAAGGCCGAGACGTCGGTGCTGAAGAGTAGCTCCAGGCGCAGGGAGTCCTCGGCACCGGCAGCCCAGGGCTGAACGGCCGCCGTGAGGTCCAGGCTTGGAGCATCCCGGTCCAGCTCTTGGCTCTGCAGGAGCTGGGGGGTCCCCTGAGCCCCCTCCACGCTGTAGATGCTGACGCGGGGGGGCACCGAGGAGCGGAGCGGGGACACCCCAGGGGATCCCGGCTTGAAGAGCTTCAGCTCCGCCTGCACCACCCGGAGCTGCCGCTGGAAAGCCTCGGTGCGGGACAGCAGGAGGTGGTAGCGGTGCGGGCCGGCGGCGTCCCCGTGTCCCGGCGGGTCCCGGTGCTCCCGGGGCAGGTCCGGCCGGCGCAGCACTGCGGGGACAGCTGATGTAAGAGCCCGCAATCCTGCCCGGCAGCTCGTGACCGGCTCCTGTCCCGCGGCCAAGCCTCCCCCGCCGCGTTATCACCCAGAGATCCCCAGGGATGTGGAGGCCACGACGGGGAAGCCCCATCCTCATCCCCACAGCACCCGGCACCCACCATCCCTCGGGGGGGGGGGGGGGGGGGTACTGCTGAGGGACAGCAGATGGTGCCCCAGGAACCATTGGGGTGACCCACACCCCCTTGTACCCCCCCAAACACGTGGCAGGAGCGGGATGTTTCCCTACATCCCCCCAGCTCCCGATGCAAGCCCAGACCCCGCTCCTAGCACCCAAAACTGCTGCTTTCACCCCAAAACTGCCCATGTTGTGTGGGCTGGAGCAGAACGGCTCCAACAGTGGCTCCGCCCCAGTGCCAGGACAAGGGAAGCAGCCGGGATAAGGATGGGCACAGCCACCGCTGTTCATGCCCAGTCATGTCCCGGCACACGCTCATGTGCCTGAGCAGGGACACGTTGGGACACACACGTGTGTGTGGGGAGGGTGGGAATGGGGGTCAGGGATGCACACGGAGTCACGGCATCGCTTACATGTGGGGGTCAGGCGATGCAGGCGCCTGGTCCTGGGCACGGCTCCTTCCTCCTCCTCCCGGCTCCGGTTCTGCATCAGCTCATCCACCGTGCGCTGGTAGAGCTGCTGCGCCCTCCGGATGCTCTCCTGGTCCAGCCGGTGCCGGACCACGGGGGGTGCCGGCATTCCCAACCGCGCCAGGATCCCCTTTTTGATGGCCTCCAGCTGGATCCTGTCCCCATCCCACGTGTGGGGCCTCAGCTCCACGCCGGTGACGAGCAGCAGGAGCTGGAGGCAGGTGAGGGCAGCCTCGACATCCCGCAGCGCCTTCGGCATCGCGCAATTCCCAGCGGGATTTAGCTGCAAAATCCTCTTGCGCAAAGGCTCGGACGTGCAGCTCCCGGCGGTGCTGCCCCGGGAATGAATGAAGTGGACCTGACCTGGCTTTATAGGAGCCGAACTTTGCCCGCCCTCCGGGTGACGCCGGAGGAAACACCCAGCAGGAATCTCTCCTTTCCGCCTGGGAATTTGCATGGGATGCACTGGTGGTGCTGGAGCCGGGTGATGTGCGAGGCTGCTCTGCAGCTGTGGAGATGAATAAGTGTCAGCCTTTTCCTCAGACACAAACAGTTCCCTTCCACCGCCTGGTTTTCCCCATGGATCACCGCGCCAGCTCATGGCTGGGGGGGATCTGGCACCTCTCCTGCCCCACTGGTGAGTGACCAGCGTCCGTAGGCGACATCCGATGGGTGCAGGGGGTGATGGAGAGGACGATGCGCAGGCAGGCGCCGCTCCTCCATCCCTGCATCCCAAGCTGCCTTCTCCATCCCGCTGGTCCCTGCTGGCACCCGGATCCCCGTTACGGTGCTGCGCTGAGCCCGGCGCACGGCCCATTCCCTAGAACCCCTCCGGAGCAGGGAAGCAGCGCCCGGCTCCTGCCGGCGCACGCACGGAGGGAGCGGATCAGTTGGACCTTGGCCTCCCAAAGCGGCTGATGACACCACAGCCCAGCTTGCAGCAGCGGCTTCTGCACGCTGAGGGATGGCTCTGCCCCACGTCCAGGCCCTCCTGAAGCAACCATGGCTGGTGTTACGTCATCCCTGGGCACGCCGGGATGGCCCGGAGCCAGCGGGACGCACCGCACCGGGAAAGGGAAAGCTCATGGTGGGAATCACAAGGCCGGGACCCGCTGCCTCTTCCCTTCTCCTGGGGGATGCTTTGACCACAGGACACGAGAACCCCTTGGTTGGACAAGGCAAGGGGCAGGGTGCCCCCGGCGCCAGCCAGGGCAGGCGAGGTCATTCCCAAGTATCCCGACGCAAAGCCAAGCGGCCGGTCCGTAGCACGGGAGGAACATGCTTCCAGTGATCCCGTGGTTTGTGGCTGTTGATCCTCTGCTTCCCCTTGGAGCCGGCTCCAGCCCCACTCCTGCCTTTCCATCCTCCCTTGGATGACCCCCCCACACACAAGAGCATCTTCCCATGGGGAGCTGGACCAGGGGTTGGCTCCTCAGTGAGTGCTTTCGTTCCCGACCTCAAGGCATTCCTGTGTGTTCCAAGGAGTGTTAGGGAGCTCTGACCCCACACTGCTCCCTTCTCCTGGGGTGATTGCAATGCTCCAGCTCCTCAATTCAAGGAAGGAGGGAGAAGAACCATCACTGCAGGAGGACCACAGAACTCTGGGTAGCAACCACAGCAGAACATCCCCATGAACATCCCCATGTCCCGGGGGGCACCAGCACCCTCCACCATCAGCAAGGTGCTAAATAAGCTCCTCCAAAGCCAAAGTGGAGCTGTGCAGCAGGAAGAGGCCCTGACCCAGCAGCAACCCCATTGCCTGGGGCTTGAGCAAGACCTGAGGTCTGCAGCGGGTCCTGGTGCTCTGCGTGGTACCAGCTCCATCCGCGGGGGATGCAGAGCCTTGCGCTCGGGAGCATCCGAGCATCCCAAAGCCGGATGTTTCCTCCGAGAGGCGCCAGGGGTGGAAGCTGGGGATTTACGGCCCGGCAAGGGCCATAAAAGCCGTGGTTTAAGAGCAGGGCTTGCGGGTGCCGTTGTGAAACGCTCCCAGCGTGTCCTCCCCATCGGCGAGCACGACGCGATTGCACAGCGCAGCTCCGTGCGTAAGCAGCTTCCCACGTTTCCTCCGGTCCTTCCTGGGCCACCGGCAGCAGAAGGTCAGGTTTGTCCAACGCCTCTTCCCACCGGGATGCAGGGTCCTCCCTGGTTAACGCATCCATCCCTCAGCAAGGTCCTGAGCCATGGATCTAGGGGTTAATAGGAGCCTTTGGCCATGGCACTGTGGGTGGTCGGGGACTCCCGGCCCTTGGAGAGGCCAATCCCGGGGTT